AGCAGCGTCCAAGCTTGAAATTAAACGAGAAGGAGGTCTAATCATAAGCCGACGATGACCTTTCTTGAGATGATTTCCTGAGATGCAGAGGGAGAGGTACATTACCCATGACCCCATTATTTTAATTCAAAGGAATGATCACACATTGTGGAAGCGAGGGAGAGGTACATTACCCATGACCCCACTATTCACCAAACATTGTCAGAAAAGACTACAAAAAGTAGAAAGATCAATAAGATGAACATCTGTTGTTCATTGGGATTGATATAAAAGAAAAAGAAAATTTGGGATTCAGAGAAGGGAGATATAGGGAGAAAACAAACCTGAATGAGAATGCCTGAAACTTGCTTGAGTTGAATCCAAGTGTTCCTTGATCGATACTCCCAAGGTAAAGCCCTCACTTTTATTTTATGCATAAATGAAATCAGTAGAGGGGATAGACAGACATGATTGCTAAGTTGATTGGCTTAATGAATTTGGTTGCTAAGCTAGGATGTGGTATAATGTACTTCTGTAGTTAGTAATATGAGATGTGGCTTGCAACAAAGTAGAGGTTATGATTATAAGTTAAGATTTGATTGAGTCCCTGCTATTTTCAAACTTCTTCCAAAGACTAACTATTGTGTTTGCTTGAGGACAAGCAAAAGGTTAAATCTGGGGGAGTTGATATACCATGGTTTTGACCCACTTTTGACCATGGTATTTATATGATTTTATAATATATATATATATATATATATATATATATATATATATATATATATATATATATATATATATATATGTTTTGGAGTCTATTACGTATGTTTTCAGGTTCAGGAGCATTTTGGAGTAAAGTGATGATTTAGGTGCCCTTATGGACTTAAAGGAGAGATTTCCGATATAACTATAAAGATCAGACAACAAGGTCGATATCTAGAGATACATATCGATCGATACACATCTTTTGTAATCGATCGACGACGCTTCCGTAGAGGATGACGAATTTAGATACTCCATCGATCGATGTACACCATGTACCATCGATCGATATGAAGCGTGAAGAACAAGTTGACTTGGCCTTGAAGCCCAAGTTCTCTCAATATTACAAGATTTCCCCTGGCGAGTTTTTAACCTAATGGAACACATATTTATAGTTTTGCCTATGTGTTTTGGCTAGGTGTGCTTTTACATGCTTTTTGTATCTTTTAAACTTTGAATGCTTTTTGTGTTCTTAGTTCTTTGATTTATAAAATTATTCTTTTCATCTTATTCTCATTTTCATAAAAGGTTATAGAATTCTAGATTTAGAAGAAACACACAAAGAGATTTGTTGTTCAAAAGAACCAAGAGTTCAATCTTCTAATCTAATGAATTTCTATTATTACCTTGTTGCTATGAATTACTTAGCCATGTATGAGTAGATTCACTTGTTAGATTTAGGGTTCAAATAGTTATGAGGGATTAGCCCCAACTATAGATTGTTGAGTTGTGATATTCATTATCCTGATGAACCCTAATGCTTACTATAGAGTAGCTAACTAGAGTATGATCATGGATGATTTAACTTGTTAATCATCATCCTGAAATCATCTGGTATAAGCTAAGATCCTCTAGGGACGAACGAGAGCCGGTCTATGATCTTGGTGAACACATATTCAATTCGATCTGAAGCTATATCGATCGATACTCTTATAGAGTAATTGATCGACGGCAATCCATATCGTCCGATATCGCTATCAATCCATCGGTCGATATTGCCGGCAGTCAGATCAATGGACGAGTCTAATAGCGACTGCTAATAGGCTCATCTAAGAATTGAAGTTCTTTAATATCTTGCAAGCAACTTATAAAGACATATATAGCATTATAATCCTGATTATCTGAATAGCAACTACTTTCTTTTATTGTTTAAAACCTAAAACAATTCTCTTGAGCAACTCACCCATTGCTCACATTTTCAATTTACTTTTAAACCTTAATCAACCTAGCATAATCACTTAGGATTATATCTTTTATGTTCCTTATTTCCTTATGGATTCGATCCCTAAGTACTACAACTGAACCTTTGATTTGAGAGAGTAATTCACTCCTTAGGGTAATTTGAGTGATATCACCTAGAATCCGATATCTTGTAATTACTAAAATTACTAACAAGGAACTTCTTACTAGAAGTATCCTCAGCCATGTACTTTGATTATTATGCATCCCACAACTCTTTTGTGGATTCGACATTCTGATAAACATCAAAAAGAGGATCTGACATACCGTTGAGAATATGGCCACGGCATATGTAATCATCGTTTTCTCATTTAAGTTGCTTCCTTTTTCTCATCCAAAGACTCATTCTCAACATCTTCCGGCACAGTAGGCATAGGCATGCTTAGAACATACACTACATTCAGATTTGTGAGGAGAAAATGCATTTTCTTTTGTCATCTTCCAAAGTCTATTCCCTCAAATTTATCTAACTTTCCAAACTTTGATGTCATCTCTCGCACTGATACACCATCCATAATTCACAAGAAAAATACTCTTTAAGATTGTTAGTTATTTGGCTTGTAACCCATAAATTTGTGAATTATATACTTGGATAATGATTGAATCGCGCACGAGGTTACTTTCCTTAAAGAGTATTTCGACCATATTCCAAACCTTTGGGTTACACGAAATCCCTTTGTATGATAAGACAATCAAAGTCTCACTCTTGTTCTAGGTTAAGATACAAGAGAAACACAAAGAAGTTTTAGTGTTTATATGTGTTCTTCAAAGATCTTTGATGATCTTTGAACAATAAATCTATTTCTCTCTTAGTCTCTTACTAACTATTTGTTTCTGATTTTTTTCTATGTCATTTTCCAATGCCTACATCTCTTTATATAGAGAATGAAAAGTTGCAACCAATGGTTGCAATGGTTAATCCAAGAGATGAAATTGTTAATACTAATGGTTGCAATGGTTAATGAAGAGTATTAACAATTGCAATGGTTAGTAAAGAGTTACAATGGTTAATCATCAGGGGTTGCAATCATAAATATGGTTAATCACCAAAGGTTGCAAATATTAATATGGTTATCATCAAAGGTTGCAATCATTAATATGGTTATTACCAAAGGTTGCAATCATCAATAGTTGCAAGCTTTTATTTATGTAGTTGCAATCGTTCACATAAACAATTGCAATGGTTCGATTTCATGGCAAAACGCAAATTTACGAACTCGCTCAGTCGCCTCTTTTCCGGTTAAGGCTTCGACAAGTCTCTGAATTCGTTTCTCACATGAAGGAACTTGAAGAGGATGTTAATCTAACTCATCTTGAAGAAGGGTACCGCCATATATCGTGAAATCTTCACACTCCTCATCGACAATGTCATTGGTTTGGCTGCTTCTAGATGACTGAGTGAGTGACATTGATGATCAATTCTCTGATTGCATCCATAGTCCTATGATTTGAAACAAAGGCACCAGTAATGGTGGGAGAGTTAGACATTATCGGTTGTGGTAATGAAATTGATGGCGATCGATTGAGAAATTGTAAAAATTTACAGTATATGAGCCAAGGTTTCAGATTTCTCATTGATATTTACAATGAGAAAAAGGATAAATTAGTAAGTAGAGTATAAGAAAGATAGAGAAAGAAAAGAGATGAAGTGAAGCTTGGAGAAAAAGAGACACGAGAAGAAAGAGAATTGGAAAAGTAGATGGTAGGAGTAAAACGGGGAGAGAATATAACTTCTGAAGTCAAAGGTATATTGCAAAATATAAGTCAGTTTAGGTGGATTGACGCATATTTCTCATTTATCAATTGTTAAAAGATTGTTCACTAATGAGTTTGGACACATATCGCTTTTAAGCAAACTGCTATTTCTCCTTCATTTTTCTGTCGATTACCTTAACTAAAGTATAACTTATATAGAATAGAAGCATGATTATGTTTTAAAGCAATAGGATCCATAAAGCAATATAAATCACATTTTTGTCCAGTAAGAAAAGGTGATACCTTTTATAATATTCCAAAAAGTAACAAAGATTAAATGTATGTATCTATCTATTTATTTATTTGTCTGCGCTTCGTGCGGAGTATTTGTTAATTGTGTAACATAATATGCAGTATTTGTTATGCGACAAAATAATATTTATTTTAAATATAATTTCATATATCGTAAATTAACGCTGATTTAACAAATTCTATTTTAAGTATCTCTATTCGTCTGATGTTTGTTGGCATTGCTATCAAAGATGTTACCTTCAAGTACATAAATCTCCTATATATCCTCATCTCCATTGTTATTTCATATTTTGATATTTTTTTAAAATGAAATAAAATTTTGTTAAGATATATTATGTTTTTAAAATAAAAATATAAACAATAAATAAAATAATAATATTTACAAAACAACGAAAAGAAATCTTAAAAAAAAAATTTTAACACTAAAACACTAAACCCTTGGTTAAATCATAAACCCTTTGGAAATATCCTAAACATTAAATCAAAAAATTAATATTAAGCAATTATACTGTTTTTTATTTATTTTTATCATTTTATTTTAAAAACATAATATAATGTAACAATTTTTTTTTCATTTTAAAGATATATTAAAAGAATTTTTAACTGTTTTTCCAATTATTACTTTTTATTTTGTTTTTATTTTTTATTTTAAAAACATAATATAATGTTAAAATATTTTTTTTAAAGAATTATTTTCGGTTTTTTGTAAATATTATTATTATTATTATTTTTTAAATATAATATAATTTCATATGATTTTGTTTCTTTTTTTAGAAGATATCAAATATGAAATAACATCATCCTATTGGTTGATGAACCCAAGAATAAATCTTATAAGTATAGAAAGTTGACAAATAGTTGGACCATAGAAAACTAGTGCCATGTAACGCCTAGAAGATACAATAAATCAATGTTTGGTTATTACATTCTTACGTATATAAAATTAGTTTTGAGGTGAACATAGTCAAAGCTATTACAAACAAAACACAAGGAACCGTTAAAGAGAGAAAGGGATGGCGAATTGGAGTGTGGTGATGATTATGGTAGTGTTGGCGATAGCTACCATGGAACAAGAAGCAGAAGGAAGCGTATGTTTATTTAATTGCTTGAAAAAGTGCCGTCACAAGGATCCTTCTGTTAGAAGATATTGTATCTGCGAGTGTGTTCTATTTTGCCTTGTCTCCAAGAGCCCACAAGGCGAGCATCCTTCTGAAAGTGAATCTCTCTACCAAACTATGAGCGAAACATGCGGCGAAGCACCTAATGCTCCATCACCATCACCACAGTAATTATTTATTTGTATTTGCGTTTACGTTAGATATTAAACAATTATATATTAATGTCTTATCATCAAACGTTTTTTTTGCGTACAAAAAAATTTTCAATTAGCTAGTAGACGCAAGTATATGTTAAGGTAGATGGACTAAACTTATAAATATTAAAAAAAAAACAATCATATACCCATATGTATTTATGCTGTTGTGTTTGTGTATAGAGAAGCTGACACGATTTATGTATGTTGACATTGCAGGATGAAAACAAGCTTTAGAAAAGAGAAACTCAAGAGAGTAGATGTTCATGGTTAAATCCTCTAGATTTGTATAAGAGACAAATAACAATCAATAAAGTCTTTAAATGTTTACTTAATTAATAGGGTTTTATGACCGTATAAATTGGTTCAGTTATTTTTTCTTTCTTCACAAGCAATCTCTATAATATTATTTGAGAAGTCAGTTTCTTATGTGTCGCACTCATGTTAACTCTCACGCTGGCTGATTATTATGATACCCCTAATGAATTTAAAAAAATACATTTAAATATTATTATTTCCTTTTAAAAAATTTCCTGTTAACGAGATAAAATAAAAAGAAAACATTTATAAAATTTAGAAAACTATTTAAAAACGAAAATATAAGTATATATAAATATGGTTTCATAAAAAAGGAAAATTCACAAAATAGTAATACTTAATTTAAATATATTTTAAATAACATAAAATATACTTTTGAAGTAATAAAATACTTTATATCTATATCTTGCTAGATGAAAAACAATATTTGTATATAATTTGATTCCATGAAAAAAGTTCACACAACTAATATTGATATTAGAAAAAGAAATCTTATTTTTTTCTTTACAAAAAATAATTTTAAACAATATATATAAATATATATATATATATATATATATATATATATATATATTTCAAAGTAATTATTTTTTGTATATATTTATCTATTTTATTAGATGATTACATAAAATAATTAAGTAACATAAACTGATATAATTGAAATTTGTTTTTATAATTAGCATTCTTGAAATATTTTTTTTATATTTTTTTGATTATAATATCTTACAATTACAGCAAAAATATAAATTCTATTTATATAATATAATTTCTCAAAAAATAACATTTTTATTGCATATATTAAGAGATATTAAAAACAAAACTAAAAATAAATTTTAAGAATATTTTTTTTTGATCAAATAACTATAATTATTTTTAAATATCATAACACTATATAAATTAATGAAGTAGATAGTTAAAATTATATATTTGAATTCAGAGAAATAGATAAAATCTATTATATCCAAATGATAACTAAATCAACCGTAAAAAAAAATAAAACTAAATCAACCGTAAAAATAATAAAACTGACGAAATATAACATATCTAAAATTATATATATATATATATAATTAAATTAATATAATATTATTAATATAAATTATGCCTACAAGCTATAAATTAATTTCAAATTTAAAGTAAATATCAATCAATTATTATAATATATTTATTTTATAAATATTGAAAATCACCTAGTCTAACATAAACATAAAAACAATCCATGCAAAAAGCGTTTTTGAAATATAAAGTAATAACTAGATCTTGACCCGCACAACCGTGCGGGTGTTAATTTTATATTTTTATATTTTACAATTATAGTTATTCATATGTTTTAGTTGTTTATAAATTATACTCTTTCGCTTTTATTTTAGTTGTCATTTTAGGTTTTTGCACACAGATTAAGTTATTTTTTAATTTTACATATTTTCAAAATAAAAACACAATTATCTATACACCTAAACATATTTCAGCCAATAAAAATAGAAAAATATGATATATTATGCATCGAAACTATAAAACGACATTTATTTTGAAATAAATTTCTTTTCTAACACGACATGTAAACTGGATGAAGGGAGTATTTGTTAATGAAATGTGTTACTGATGTTTAAACAACAAAGTGGTGCTAAATAAGTCATTTGTTATTTGGTATATTTTTTTATAAAACTTACCACTTTCAACTATATTTTTAATAAAGTATATAATTTAATTTGGATGATTTGTGTATATTATATACATATATTTTTTTGCTAAATGTATATTAATAAATATATGCTAATAGAAACATAAATTTCATAATTTGGATTTGATATATTTTTCATTTATATAGACCAGAATTTATTTTATATCCTATTTATAATTGTAACAATGGTGCCACAAATAAAAAAGGTCTATCTATTTATGATTTTAAAATTTACAACCAATATTGATGCGGGTAAGCATAATATTCCCTTTTTGAATGATATTGTTTAATATTGGAATATATTTTCTTTGATTTTATCATTATTTTTTTACAAAAACTGCTACAATCACGAAATTATAGGATTCTTATACTATTATGATTTTTTTTTTGAACCGTTGAACAATATTTTTTCTTGGTAAATGATATACCATTTTTCATATTTGATTATTTTGAAAAATCCCAACTTCATCTTCTCCAAATGCCGTCTGCGTTTTAGTACATTAAAGAAAATCATATAATACAAAGCGCACAATCATTCAAATAAAGCTTACACAAATTCAATAAAAAGTGAAAGAGCAATAACTCAAATATTAGTCGAGCATGTTTATTATAAATAAAACATTGTTAGTGACATACAAAGTATGGTTGAGCATGGTCATAATAGAGAATATATGGTCGTCGTCTGTGAAATTTATGTATACTTTTTTTTTTTGATGAAAGGCTAACTTATGTAGGTCGTTATAATAAATATGGCCTAAAGACACAGGTCATTGATTTTATATAATAGTAAAGTGAAGAATCACGATTAATAAAGATGGGTTGGTAACGACAATATATTTCACACTTTAGGTGATATTAATTTTGAAAATAAATGATAGGACAATTAAATATGATAATTTCCTAGTAGATGGTCAAATATGAAATATCACACATGAATAAAAGTTGTGATTTCTGTTTTAATATATAAAACTAGATCTCGACCCGCACAACCGTGCGGATTTTCTTTTTATTTATAATTTATAAAATAAATTATCAATAAATAATAATATATTTACTTATAAAATCGTGCAAAATACTAAAATAATAGATGTAAAAGTATCATTTTTAAACACAACAAAAAAATATAAATTATCACTAACAAATATTTATCTATAGTGTATCTAAATAAATTTTAAAATGTATTGTATGCAAATTCCAGAAATTAAAACTCTATATTAAAGAAGATNATAGATGTAAAAGTATCATTTTTAAACACAACAAAAAAATATAAATTATCACTAACAAATATTTATCTATAGTGTATCTAAATAAATTTTAAAATGTATTGTATGCAAATTCCAGAAATTAAAACTCTATATTAAAGAAGATTATAATTTAATTATTTTAAATTATAATTTATGTATCAAACTCAAAATATATTATTTAGTAACAACAATCAATAAGAATATAAATTAAAATATATAAAACAAATTACTATATATTAATAATGAAGAATAAAAAAACTTAAACAACTAAGTTATAGAGTTATATAATATATAACATCAAATGTAAATCATATATTTAATTTTTTTATAATACTATCAAAGTGTTATATTTATAAAAAGAAAAAAAATTGTGTGGGTTAAACTCTAATAAATAGTTTTTTATTTAGGATTTAGGAATATATAATGCTATCTAGATAAATTTTAATATCTTAAACAAAAACATTTGTATTTCGAATAAAAGATAAATATAGGGGATAATATTATGGAAATACAATTTAAAAAGATGTCAAAAAGATTTTGCTGGATTTATTTCATTTGTATTTCAAATAGAAAAATAAAGATATTTAAAGATATTATCATTAAATTATATAACATTTGATAATCTTCATAATCTTCTTAAGGAATAGTCCATTTTTTTAAAAATCACACATGAATCTAGGTTGTGACTTCTGTTTTAATATATAAGATATCACAAGCTATTTTCGAATACTCCACTCAAATCTATACACATGCACACTTAAAAACCCAACCCTGTTTTATTTGCGGAAGAGATCCTTAGTCTGAGCATTCCTAAACGCACTACATGCAATAACATAGACCCAAATGAGAACAACGACAGTGATGATAAGTATGAGATTTGCTTTACGCCAATCCAATCTAAGGTTTTCCAAAAGACCAGCTTTGCATGCGTTGCAATTGTAGCAAAGCTGGCTTTGGTCGTTGCTCCACAGATAGCAGTCTGCGTCTACAGCCATGTTGATTGGGTTTAGCCACAGTGTCGGGTTCACGAAGTTGTAGCCACACGCGGTCGGTGGTTTACAGCAACCGGACTATATAACAAAAAGAAAAGGCATTGTTAGGTATGATCAAAAGCTCAGGAAATGAAATATGAATCTTTTGAATCATTTTTTTTCAATGTAATGTATTTTCTTTAGTGATAGATGATAATGCATGGGAGAGATATAATGGGACAGACTTATGATTGTAACTATTGTAGTTAATCACTAGACCAAATCAAACAAGTAATAAAAGGAGAATAAGAGCTCTATTTAATCTATCCATATCATCAAATTTAATCAATCAATAAAAATATTTTAATTTAACATGTCACTCAGAGGCACATCTTAAATTATAAACATGTGGTATGTTAAACTTGAATAACTGAATTTCGTCAACTCTGGTGCTACTTTTACTTTGGCTGACACCCATTGACCCGGGTTAACCTATCTGATACCCTATCTTACATCTTTTTTATTTAAAAATTTAATACCCATTTAATTTTAGCTCATGCTTAAAATCATTATGGGTTCACCAGTGATGTCACCTAAGCTTCTATCGACCGGATCTTGAACGAGTCGTTCTTTTGGGCTCATTATCTTCATCACTAGCCCATCTAAAATCCACATCGTCATCTCAGGCCTTCTTTGACGTTAACAATTGTGATGATCGACTTTGGTACTTCCACTCCCTGCAAATCCCTCTTTCTTTTCTGAAATAGTCATGACTCAATCTCAATCTTACTTCTGTTCTTAAATCTTTTTTGATGATTTCGTTTCACCTCCCACCGTTCCTCCTCCTACTTCAGTTCAACAAATAAATTACAAATCGCCTAATCCATAAAGCCCATGATTCTCCTCCTCCTCCTCCTCATCCTCTCTCATCTTCGCCTTCTCCACCATCTCTCATTCGATGAAATTTTCTTTACCAATATGCAACATTATCATTCTCACAGTAGGATTCCGTCGGCTGACCTGTCTGGAATCTAGAGATTGATTTTAGATTTTCCATTTTCAGAATACTCATATTATCTTTTCTTTATTTGTTCCTCCAGCAACAACCAATGGTTAAGGGAACGAGAAGAAGGAACATACCACCATGGTAAAACTTTTGATTTTCTTCTGAATTTTCTAAAACTAATAATAACATGACTAAATCTCTGCTTTTGGTTTCAGCCAGAGCAGATGGTTTTCATGGACTCCAGAACCAGAAAGTTCAAAGCTTAATACCTGAGTATTGGAAGTTTCTATAGGCCATTTCGATGACTAAGACATGAATATTCTGTTGTTAATTGTTATCGCAAAAGATTTTGTTTCTCATCACTGCAAGTGTTAATTGACTACTTCAATTTAGAACTCTTCTTCAGATGTAATGCATAATCCTTAAAACAGTGTAAATAGCACCATCTGCAGGGGAAACAATTTTAAATGTATTATATGGGACAAAGGTGCAGAAGTTAAACAGAAGTGGAACTACCCCTTCCTTACTACGTATCCAAATCTAACATTTTTGTTAGTTTTTATTATTTTGTGATTTCATTGTGGTTTTTCTGTAAGAGTTGGAGGTAAATCAGTGTCGTCACATTATCAAAACTTAACATTTTTGTTACTTTTTATTATTTTGAGATTTCATTGTGGTTTTTCTATAAGAAAAGCTACAGTGTTAAGTTGTTTGTTTAATTTACCATACCCTCATACTGCTCTGTCTATCATGTTTGTGTAAAGTTATAGAGTTCGTATTTTTACAAGTAATAAAAGGAGAATAAAAGATCCATTTAGCCTATCCACATCATCAAATTTAATCAACCAATGAAAATATTTCAATTTAACATGTCAGCGAGTGGCACATCTTAAATTATAAGAATGTGGTATGTTAAACTTAAATAACTAAATTTCGCCAGCTCTGGTGATACTTTTACTTTGGCTGACACCCTTTGACCCGAGTTCAAACCTATCTGACACCCTATTTAACATCTTTTTTATTTAAAAATTTAAGGCCCATTTAATTTTAGCTCATGCTTAAAATCATTATGGGTTCACCACTGATGTCACCTAAGCTTCTATCGACCGGATCTTAAATGAGTCGTTCTTTTGGGCTCATTATTTTCATCACTGGCCCATCTAAAATCCACATTGTCAACTCTCGCCTTCTTTGACATTAAAGATGGTGATTATCGACTTCGGCACTTCCACTCCCTGCAAATCACTCTTTCTTCGCTGAAATAATCATGACTCATTCTCAATCTTACTTTTGTTCTTAAATCCTTTTTGATGATTTCTTTTCACCTCCCACCGTTCCTCTTCCTAATTCAGTTCAACAAATAAAATTTCAAATCGCCTAATCCATAAAGCCCATGATTCTCCTCCTCCTCCTCTTCCTCCTCCTCCTCTCTCATCTTCATCTTCTCCACTGTCTATCATTCGATGATATTTTCTCCATGGAGCGTTGACTGGTTACATGTCTGCAATCTAGAGATTGATTTTAAATTTTCCATTTTCCATTTTCATGACACTCATATTGTCTTCTCTTTATTTGTTTCTCCAGCAACAACCAATGGTTAATGGAGCGAGAAGAAGAAACATACTTTGATTTTCTTCTGAATTTTCTAAAACTAATAATTACGTGACTAAATTTCTGCTTTTGGTTTCAGCCATAACAGATGGTTTTCATGGACTCCAAAACCAGAAAGTTCAAAGCTTAATAGCTGAGTAATGGAAGTTTCTGTAGGCCATTTCTATGACTAAGACCGGAATATTCTGTGAGGTTCTCTCTATTGTATATTTTCCCCTCCTGTTGTTAATTTTATCGCAAAAGGTTTTGTTTCTCATTACTTCAAGTGCTAATTGACTATTTCAATTTAGAACTCTTCTTCAGATGTAATGCATAATCCTTATAATAGTGTAAATATCACCATCTACAGGGGAAACAATTTTAAATGTATTATGTGGGACAAAGGTGCGGAAGTTAAACACAAGTGGAAGTACCCCTTCCTTACTCTTGGTGACAACCACATATCCAAAAAGAGTTAGTCAGTGTCGTCACATTTTCCAAACCTAACATTTTTGTTACTTTTTATTATTTTGAGATTTCATTGTGGTTTTTCTGTAAGAAAAGCTACACTGCTTAGTTGTTTGTTTAATTTACCACACCCTTATACTGCTATGTCTATCATGTTGTTTAAAGTTATAGAGTTCGTTTTTTTTTTTTGAAATAACAGCTTGTGTTTAGTATGACTATTAGTGTTTGTTTTTAAATTAAACAACCAGTCGTGTTTCTTTTAAACTCGAATTCATTTTTTTTTTAAACTGCGGATCAGATTGTTTTAAAATTACATGTCATTTTTCGCTTATTTGTGTTGGCATTTTTTTTTTTTTAAGTTTGTGTTTATTTCCAAATTATTGATCGTATTTCTTTTTTTAAAATTGCAGTCATGTTTCCTTTGCTTATTAGTGTGGTGTTGAAATTAGAGACCGTGCTTGTTTCTAAATTGCAAGTCATGTTTTGTCTTCTTATTAGTGATTCTGTGTTTATCTTTAAACTAAATATTAGGTCGTCTTTGTTTACCATTTATTATACGTGTTTATTTCAAATATCTGATTGACTTTGTTTTTAGATAACATGTTGTGTTAGTTCTATATGTTAGCATATGTTCTAAATGGAACATTTTGACGTGTGTATTTTAAAATTTCGGATATCGGATAGAAATATCTATCAAGAGAAATTAATTCAAACAAGATATATGTAGTAAGTAAATAAATAATACTATATAACTATATGATGTGAAATTGTCAGGCTAAACACATAATTAATTGTGTAATGCATGGAGGAGATAAAACACCAAACACCAAACACAAAATAATTAAATTTATAATATTTTCTAATATAGTTAATCAAAAACACAACAAACTGCTCAAATGCAGAAGAAATATTTTAAACCCATCCAAAATTGTCGGATAGAACAAAATCTACTCACTTAGCCATGCATTTATTAGCAAAATAAAAAGATATTTGATAAGGAAAATGGTATATATAAACTTTAAACATGAACAATTATGTTTTTACATCAATTCAATGATTTTTTTTTGTCAAATAACATATAAAACTTTCTTATATTTTAACAGATTATAAAAACAAAAGAAAACAAATCCTATATAGATAATCCGTGCTTAGCACAGACAAAGAACTTAATATTTAATAATGTCTACTTATTATATACAATCAGTCAAAACCTCATCATCTAAGCTTATTTAATTAGAGATTAGTGGTTCCAGTCTTGGTACAGTTGGCTTGGATGCCACCTTGTTATAAACTAAAGGGAAATATATATATAAATGATTTAAATTTATCTGATGAAGAATATCAGAAGTTTTTTTTTTTTTGGTAAAAGAATATCAGAAATTTTGATTCGGATAAACTATAAAGATCGGAAAAGCAGATGATCCTATCACCCACATAACTAATTATTAACTACAGTAGAATAGCGCACGGGATTCTATTCAAATGTAACTAAAAATAGGATATTTATAGCAATCACTTTGGTCAATATTTGCTTTAAAAAGTTAAACAATAAGCTTTGCGGACGGGATGAGGAAGCAGTTTGGTAAAGACTTTGTGAGCCAATTGTTATACTCATAGGTTCGACGACAGGCGGGGAGAACTGTCAGTTCTTGTCATTAAATACGATATTGGATGTTGGGCCTTGTCCCCAACCCAAGTATAGTCTTCCCGGATGAAATGGACTGCTGCCTGACCGAACCCAGAGGAATGATCCACGTAAGTGAAGAACCTCTGGATTATCAGAAAAAAAAAAAAAGAGCTTTGCGCTTTTTCTCTCCATGGAATTCAAGCAAAAAAAAAGACATGAACATGAATTTTAAGAGTGACATTTAAAAATAATGACTAATAGAAAACGTTGAAAATTTTGTCAAGTTTGAGTTGATATGAAAAAGACTTATCAAGGAGACTGGGATCATTGATTTATATGAGTTAGATTATAACAAGGGACATATAATAAATAAAGATAAAACCTATTTTATCATGTAACATATTGTGGGTGCATGGTGGGTCCTTCTGATAGTGCATATTGTTTTAAATTCTAAATTATCTACCTGTAATCTTTTTCATTGTTGATCTCCAGCAATTATTACACTAGTCTCCTAGGAAAAAATATGGTTATATACTTATATATTAAGAAAGCAAATATTTTCAATACAGAGTTTCAAAGGAAGTTTTTAGTAATTGAGATTACATACGCCTAGAATTTGAGTACTGTAACACGTTAACTGAATGCAGTATGCTAAGAAAATGAATGGAGTACCTCTCCTAGACTTGAAATTAGATGTTTGAATTGTTCAGAACCATTGGATTAGTCCACTTATATATTTGATTTTTTTTTTTAGTTTTCTAAAGGATAAGGAACAAAGGAAATAAATTTAAAAACGTTAAAGCTACTACAGAATCCACTTATATATTTGGTTTTTTTTTTAGTTTTCTAAAGGATAAGGAACAAAGGAAATAAATTTAAAAACGTTTAAGCTACTACAAAATAAAAGGAGTACAGAGAATAAGAACAATATTCTTTTGGAAATTTTATTATATCTTTTCTGAATAATGGACCTTTCTTTCTTTCTTTTTATTTGTAAGAACAAACCGTAGGTCTCACATAATCTTCATATTGAGACAAATATTCTCTTTAACATAATCTTAATTAATGATCTAATATTAATTATTAAAGCGTTGTAAGATCTAATCAGGAAGATGATTCTTTGGCATCTTTCCAAGCTAACATTCAGTCCAGATTATAACTTAAAAGTCGTTTCCGAGCTACCTAATAAGAATTTTCCTGAAAACAAATGGTACCATTTTAAGGCAACTAACTTTTTTTTTTTTGAAACACAGGCAACTAACTTAAGATGTGGACTTAAGTATCCAACTAATCTTAGTTAAAGTTTTAGTGTACAAATTACCATCAACATTTACTGGAATTTATCACTGCTAACCTAGTTCCATTAACCACAGATTGCTTACAATATAAGGTAAAATAAAGCGGTATGAGATGTAAAATGTGGGGTTAAATGTAACAAACTGAAGAGAGAACATGCCTGGAGAGGAGTGATGGAAGAGGAAGAGAAGAACTGATCAGCGGTGATGAACTGTTGGCTGAGCTTAGGACAAACGTTTGTATCAGCCAGACAAGCCCTTATATTCCCCCAGTTCTTTGAATCCACAACGTTCTCTCTCAGCCAATTCGAGAACCCTTCAAGCCTGTACTCTTTGTAACCTCGACCCGGAACTTGATACGACCCGTCGGGTCGGGTCACCACGAAAGCGAATATCAGAACCACCAGCAAAAGTCCGATCAGTATCGCCATACAGCACAAGTAAACAGCCAGAAGAGTCTCCTTGTGACTGAGAGAATTATTCAGAGTGATCATTTGAGGCTTTGAGCTCAAACGTTTGAATCAAACTAAAGCAAAAGTCTCTGTCCTTATAGAGAACTTACTGGTAGGCGCCGATGAAGCCGCAAGCGGAGACGACGAGGATGAGAACGCCGAGGACGACAACAGGCCAACGGAGGAGATTGACACACTCGTTGTCAGGCTTTGAGGCAAGCCATATCCCTGACACCGTTATAGGTATTGAGCATAGTAACGCAAGTAAGTTCAGTATCGCGGTCAAGTTATTCGCTAACGCCATTAACTCTCTCTCTCTCTTGAAAAACTTAAGAAGTATTGAAAGTGAGAGGACTTGCCTTTGTTTTTCTTACTTATATAGGTCAGTGCCTTGGTGGTTAGAGATAATGGGCAGTGTGAACTTTGTTTATGCTAAAATTTACACAGCACGAGGTTCGGTCCGGTAAAGCTATCCGACTAGGAAATGGATATATGGTTTTATTGCATTGCATGCTTATTTTAACAATGTTCATTGTTAATTTTTGTTCTCAACTAACTTGCGGTGAACAGGACCGTATCTTTTGGGGGTGGGGAGGGGTTGGTTGTGGAATAATGTCACATGGATGGACGAGACGGAAGATGCCTTTTGAAAGCTTTCAAATAGCGTTTGTGTTTACAACACCGCCGTAACAACTTTATATAGTAGAAAGATTCTCTTAACTTTACTAATGCTATCCGAGTTATCTAAAATGGAATTTCGAAAAGAAAAAAAGGAGAAACTTCTGTTAACACCAAAAGTATAAGGTTGACTTTCATAGAAACATGACTCTTTGACATGATGAGATGTTCAAATCAGATGTCTCAATTCCAACAACAAGGAAACGTCTTATCTACATCAAGTGGAAACTAAAGAAGCTACACTTGTAAGCTTTGCCAAACTTATCTACATCAATGTATTTTAAAACTTCATCAAGTAGCGAAAAAAATGACAATGAAGATCAGTCTAGCCACAACAAACTCTTTTTTCACTCAAAAATATAAATAAATAAAAAAGAAAACCAAATATTGTTAGCTCCACCAAAAACCAAAATCAGTCTAGCCACAATAAACTCTTTTTCACTCAAAATATATATAAATAAAAGAAAACCAAATCTTTTTAGATAGACCAAAAACTGAAATTTTAATCAACTCATACTTGCATTAATAATCCACAAGCAAACAACGTCACTGATGAAAAAGACTGTATAAATTGGTGAATCAAAGGTCAAAGGTCACAATTCCAGAAAAAAATAAAACAAGAAGGTTCATGCATCATCCAGGGATTAAGTACATACCTTTCACAGAACCATATAACTCTCTACATGATCGAAAAAGACTTGGATACTAGCAGAGTCATCTCCAATTCCATCAATCACAACTTTTCTAACATTTTTTTCCTTGGGGTCGTAACAAAGAAAAAAGAATGGGTTAGGGGATGGGAGCGGTTNAAATAAAACAAGAAGGTTCATGCATCATCCAGGGATTAAGTACATACCTTTCACAGAACCATATAACTCTCTACATGATCGAAAAAGACTTGGATACTAGCAGAGTCATCTCCAATTCCATCAATCACAACTTTTCTAACATTTTTTTCCTTGGGGTCGTAACAAAGAAAAAAGAATGGGTTAGGGGATGGGAGCGGTTTAAATATGATCTCGCCAGTAGGAAGTATACCCCTGAACATGAGACGTTGATCTGCCCCAAATATATCAGCCACAGAAGGAACCACAGCAGCAGTTTTTGACCATACTTCTTTGTTGACATCATCCTGAACCCATAGGTCCATTGGGCCATTATATGCCTGAGTCACTATGGTTATCTTTCCACTGTGATTCACCAGATTACCAAACTGTTGAAGACCATAATCATCGGGTAGCTTAGTAACATTAAACTCTTCAGAACTCATGTCGAAGCTCATTAGAGATCGTTTTTGTTTGTAAGAAGCTAGATAATACAGAACACCATCCCTACATATCCCTTGACATCCAGAATAATGACGATGAGGATACTTACACTTGATCATTCTCCATTTTTGTTTAGCTCCTAGAGTGATAACTTGATGCTCTTCCGACACAATAGCCTCCCACGCCATTACATCCTCCAAGAAAATATCACGGGTTATAATACCACGAGCTATATTACCACGTTGAGTTATCACCGTCATGCACAAAACTTTGTATACATCATTAACCGGATCATATCCAAAAACAGATAAAATCTCTTTTTTCCTTGTTTTGACTCTTGGTAACGATATGAACTGACCCGTACTAGGGTTCCCAATAATCATCTTGATACCGTTTCGACCGCAGATCAAGCCGCGAACAGGTGGAGTAAATACATACCGTACATCCGGATCCAGTGTATAGCTAACCTTGTCGTGATCATTAGAATGCTCCTCCTGAGAGAAGGAGTGAAAGAGCTGCATGTCGCTGCCACGGTGCACTGAGACAAGATGACGAGGCTGAGACGAAGATCGAGTCATGTACATCTCGGTGAACTCTTTGCCGAGGATGATCGA